GATCAGGGTTTGGTATGGCTACATTTTGTGTGGAAGGTATATTTATTAATGTAACTAAGAATATGGTACAGTTTCTCATGGAGTAGAGGTCACTCTTGTTTCATACAGTAAACTCTCAGGGTTTTTATTACAAATATTTTCCATCCAAAACTACTTTGGTAATAAGACAAGATCTATGCATGTGGCATATGCCTGTGTCCATCACAGCTATAGATACATTCATATGAAAGCCTAGTAGGAGAGTGATCCAGTTTTGTAAAAAAAAACAAAACTTATTTAGTCCATAGTTTTGATCATCTCATACTGTATATCGAGTCAATGTGACTCTGGAAAAATATTGTATCAATAAAAATATGACATTATCCAAGACGAAAACATATTTTATCCATCTTCACAAATGTAGATTATAAACCCAGTCAGTATCAGTGTCTGATGCTGACTTTTGTTTTGCCAGTTTGCTTGCTTCTTCCCAAAGGAAAGTCTCCATCAAGTGTTGGGTTTGTCATTTCAAGATGGGATTTGATTTAAATTTACATTTAAGCCTGCTCACGGTCAGTGGAAGATAATAAAATAAATATCCTACAGTGCCGCAGTCAAAGGCCTAATTTGAATCCTATTGAGAACCTGTGGAAAGGTTTGAAAACAGCTGTCCATAAGCAAACCCTAAGTAACTTGAGTTTGAATAAATCTGTGAAAAAATTGCACCAACACCAAAATTAGTAAAGTCATACACAAAAATGTGTATGAAACGTTTAGTAATTTAATAAAAGGAAAATGAGAGGTCTCAATTCTATGTACTCATATAGGCGATGGATGTTTAGGAATGCAAGGTAATGTTCTAGTCTGAAGGAAGAAGGGAGAAAATCAAAATAACTTCATTAACTATTTGTGTGTAGGTGTACAAAACTAAATTCTAAACAAATTCAGTTCAGTTTTTGATCATGTATCCAAAAAAATGAGTACAGTATTTAATTGCAGGTAACTCTGTATAGTAGTGTTCATTGTATTTCTTAAAACTATGTTTTAATGCACTTCTGGCTACTAGTTGTCCACGAAAACAGGCCAGCTTACTTTTCAAAATATGTATTTTTTTCCTTCTCTCTCCTAGTTTAAACAAACAAGGTTTTTAGTTTCCAACAACTCCCACAGCCTGTGGAATTACTTTAGATTATATTTTTTGTATAACAAGCCAACTGCAGTGTACAGCTCACCCTATTCATTCCAAGTAGAGCTGGCCTCACACAGTGGTGTCAAACCTCTTTATCTGAGCTTTCCTGAGGTTTTATCAATCCCTGACACTTTCCTGTTAACGGCACCTTGGGATTCCTGTGACATTTTCAACATACAAAAATGTGTGAGGTCAGACTGGAGAAACCCATGCATTAGATACCTAATAAGTAGAACAGCTGAACTTTATTTTGAAACTGTGTTTGTGGAGAGTGTGTATATGAATTTTGTAGTAGTTTTTAAGATTTTTTGTAATATCATTAGAGGTACTGTAGATGTAGCAAATTAGTTAAAACTCAGGAAGGATTCAAAACAGGTAGTTTATGCTGTGAAAGGTAGCACTTTAAAATATTTGGCCAATATTGATGCCGTAACACGTGTGCCTCCTTGAGTTCCATATGGTTAATTAAGTGTAATATTGCCTTGCCCAGTCCAGACCTTTAGCAATGAGGTAAAGTTCTCTCCTTGGGAGCTTTCAACTTGGGTTTGATTCCCCACCAAGACCTGCGTCACCCTTAAGCATCACATTGGTGTCAACATTTTGGCTCCTGGGCTGTTCAACAAAGAAATGTGCTGCAGTTACGAATACACACAGAGTACTATGTGTGTCCCCTAGAGTGATGTGTCAAAGAGATTGTGATTCCACCTACCACATGCAGATTGTAATGTGACTTTCACAGTAGTACATATTCTGAGTTCTGAAGAGATTTGTGTAACAAACGGTGGTGATCAGAATATCTCCTACAGCCCTGCATGATTTCATATGCATGCAAATAATGTTTTTTTTTGTATTAAAGTGAACTAATTACTGTATTATGATGTAAGTTATCACCAGTTCTCAAACCCCAGTTGCAAACCATGGCCTCAGATGTATCCCTGAGCATTAGAGTTATCCAGGTCAAAAAAGACATCCTGTAGACACACCATTGTACACAGTGTACATTACACTCATGTGAACTCAAGGAAATGGATTTATCATAACTGGTTCATTGTACAAAAAATATGAATTAAGTGGAACCTTAGTCTTAAAATATTTACAACACCTGACAGAATAACCAAGTCTGCCCTTTTCTGTTGTTCTTGGTGTGTTATCAGATTGAGCCACTGACCTGTAAAAATATGTAGAGTATGACCAGAAAAATAGATTCAGATTTTAATATGATAAAATTTTGCCAATCTACATAGATTTAAAAGAATTAAGAATTTTATTGATGCTACAATTATTGACACATATAATTGAAGTAAAAAAAAGTGATCAGGAAGATTTTTTTATTCTTTTGTCTTTATCACAAAAATTTTGGAAAGCAATAAAAAAGCAAACATAATGTTTGAGTACATAACCAGAAGTACAGAATTTAAATCAGGGAAAGTTAAGCATTGCAGTGCAGTAGTATGATTTAACACAGAATCTTGTATTCAGTTGTGGTCACCATATCACAAAAATGATACTATAGCCTTAGGAAGAGTTGCAAAGAGCAACAAGTATGATTCTTGGTCTCAAGGCATTATCATACAAGGAAGCTAAGCCTAAAATAAACTAAATTGAGACTAAACTAAATAATCTGCATTATTCAAGCAGATAATCTCCTAAGAGTTAGAGAGAATGCACAGTCAAACCTGGAGCTTATTCCACAGTCAGTAATGGAAGATGGACATAGGGTCACATGTGGAAACTAAAAGTGACTTTATTTAGGGTACATAGGATACTTCTTTACAAAAACAATATGTCACGGAATATAAATGAGGACCCTATGCAGAATAACCAGGACGAACTCCAGAGGCGTAGTCGATTAAACAGTCCGAGGTCCGAAAGCCGAAGGTAAACAAACCGATGCAAAAGTACAAAATCAGAAGCGGAGCTGTAAGCCGTGAGGAAGCTAAGAGTCAAAGCCAGAACAATAATCAAAGTATCAAAAAAAAACAGGAGACGAAGTCAGGGAACAAACCAGGGTCAGGAAGCCAAAAACCAAGAAGTAATTAATTGCAAGAAGTCGAGGTAGCTCTAACCAGGAAAAACTTAATACTGATCACAGGGGAGAGTGTGAAGCAGCATTAAATAGGCTGGGGTAAATGGGCTAATTGGGAACCGTGCTGGAATGCAAGGTGGAATGATGAGTCCTCCGGGGGTGTGGCGTAATACAAGAGGCTTCTCTCTTTTTCATCCTTTCTTATGTTATTATATTTTAATGTTGGAAATTTCTAAGGGTCGTAAGCTGTTATGCATGAAATGCAATTATTTTCTCAGGAAACCGAATTAGAACATAAGAATGCTCACACTGGAGAGGAGGCCTATCTTGGTCTTACATTAGTTAAGCAGGTAAGTAAAATGAAAATGTCATGCAGCCATTGCGTAGTTGTCTCTTTTACTAACTGTGTTAAAAAGCCAGATCATTAATTGTTTCCATCACAATATTCCAATTTGTATGTGAAAAGTAGAAATATTCCAGTAATGTAATGAATTTTTAGACACAAGATACATCAACTTCCTAATCTCATCATACCACTTGTATCTGCCCATGTTAACTGGTGTAGCTGTCACGCCTGACATCCCTCCTTAGAGGGCGCTCCACTACTCCTATTATTGTTTCTGTGATTAAGCTTCCCAGGTGTGCCTTTTTAGGTTTATTATTTAAAGACTAGCTTCTCCAGTCCTTGGGGCTCATCATTAGGGTAAGGATGTCGCAAGGCCCGCCTAGCACCAGGAAACCCTACGTCCGTCTCCTGAGGGCATAGGCCTCATCCCCGACACCTCCCGCTTCCTGAGCCCAGGGTCTGGAGGATCTCACACCGTCACCCTTGGACCTCCATGTTTTGTCTCTCTGTGTGTTCCCCCCTCCCGGGGTTTTTAGCCTTGTCCCATCCCAGGATGGATTTCTTGCTGATGGACTCTCGGACTGTGCCCTGACCTGCCATTGGACCCATTTGGATTTGAATGCCGTTCTCTGTCTTCCCCGTTCACTGTCTCATGAGCACATAATAGTACATGACAAGAGCCAAATGTCATGTATGCATTTGATTATAGTGGCATCATCTCAGACATTTTAAAATGTGTGGCTAGACTAATGTTTAGGGCTCATTTTAAGAGACCAGTTAATATGTCTTTAAGGTCCAAAAGAAAAAGAAATAAAAACAAAGCAGAAAAAAGCAGTGATTCTTCAGAATATTCTGTCAAACTATGTGCAAACTTACAGTACAAGTATGTAGTGTCAACAGGGTGGAAAAACACAATTTACAGTGTATCTGATTCAGAACTGGAATTTGCTGCTTTTGGATGTGAGTACAGAAATGGGAAAGCTCATTCTCCTTCAGTTCTGTTTTGACAAGACATTCCTTGAGCTCAGCCAAGCTCTGAAACATCCCCATCGCCTGTCAGGGAGGAGCCCATATTACACCCACACACAGAGCAGAAACTCCCCACTTTACCCTCAGTTCTGAAGTCTTGTGCCAGACAGCTTAAAATCATCATTGATGCATGAGGCATTCAATCTCCTGTCAAAGTCTACAGTACATAAGTGATTTGTTTTCTTTCTTTCTGTAAGCAACCTTGCATTCCATTTTCTTTTGACTGTTTTTTAAGAACACAAGATTTTTAAAATAAATATCATGTTTTTATCAGCCTTTTATAATTTGTGTATAAATTCAAAGCAAATTATTAACTGACTTACGTACAGTTAGTATTTGTTCTGGAATTAGACTGCCTTTATCAATGGAAGTTTTCACTGTCTTTTCAGTCATTCATTGTTGGTCAATGCCAAAAACTGTTGAGAAAAAAACAAGAAATAGACAAACACAAAAAGAAATACAAATCCATCCAAAATGAGCATCTAAAATTTTTTTTGAACTGGTTACTTTCCCACACCAATTCTTATGTCGTGTCAGCATTCTGTAAGAGTTTGCCTAAGACTCTGCAAAAGACCAAACTACTAGATGCTGTTTTGTGTTTGGGGTTGAGTCACATACCGTACGTATTATCAAGTGAAGGCTGCTTATTTTAACTTGGGCACTGTATTTTTAAAAATGAGACACGGGGTATTACCATGGAAGAGGTCATTACAAGGAAATGCCAAATGGTTGCAGAATTATGTTAGTTTTTCAACTTTCTCAGCTCTGGGGTCTTCTAAACTATGTAAATGACATTTCAATATATGAAACATTTTGCAGAGCTAAAGTACTCAAGTTGTAAGGTCACAGTTCACCCTTGGGGCCAGTCTCTTTGTTTCTGCATGGAGCTGCTGAAGAAGGAATGTGAACTTGATTCTGAAGTCACCCAAATTGTCATAGCCGGGGCCACAGTCATTGGATTTTACATGATTGATTAGAACAGTGAGGGGGTAGGAGAGGAAAAAAAGAAGGAAGGTTAATACAGGATGGACCTAATTAGTACTGACAAGGAAGAGTTATAAGAGTCCCTTGGCTCTCCTTGTATTCCTTCTACTCCTCCACTACTATGCATGGAGAAGTAATACCAATAGTGTAATATGGCCTTTGCTGTTCCTCTTTTCTAGCACCTCTGTGATGGAAACATAAGACACCAGGACAGTTCATTCCCAACAACCTTCCACAGCCTTCTCACACCTCATCTTTTTAGGCTAAACCTGTGATTTCTATGCTCTCTTTACCCTGACAGCTCCAATTCATAATCCCCTTTGCATTGATTGAAACCTACAAGTCTACAAGAGGGGGTGGAGTGCTGTGATATGTAAAACCTGATTATGGCTTTTGTTTCGTTTTCTGTTTTTGCTAGATCATATTGTTTGTTAATCTGTTGCCATTTTTATCCTGTGCTGTGTATTGCATTTTATTTATACTTTCAGCAGATTATACTGTAACTTTGGCTTTATGATGTTTTTCTGGTTGTAGTATCATGTGACATAATTATAGTTAACTTTGCAATTGTGAATTATTGTCATGCAAATAATGATTACTTTATGCAAATTGCCTTGGGAAGAAATCTGATTAATATGGTAATTCCAGCACCACAGACATCAGCTCTAAGTCTGAAAACTTGTAAACAATTTGTCAACAATTTGTAAACATTGTTTTAAAAGCAAACAATGAAATGTTATCTTCTGAATTAACAATAAAGCATAAACAAAAATGGTATAAAAAGTACAATGGTGAACTAGATCCATTACCATCCTTGAGTGATAAATCAAATGACTTGCCATTTTACATTGCCAAACTAATGTGGTTTCCCAGCATTTTAGTATGCAAATCTTAAATCTGTACTCTATCCCCTTTTTTATTGGTAAATTTCAGGTCTGCAGTGCCAAAATTTGTCACGCATTTCCATGGAAACCAACGCCCCTACTTTTGGACAGAGTGACCTCTGAGAAATGTGTTTTCCTGTTCCTTTGCTGGTCAGCACTGTCCTCTCAGGCTTTGCACTGCCCACTAGGCCAAACAATAATGTGTTTGTGAAAGAGGACTGATCTATGATGCAACTGCTCATCAGGACCATCTTGAACCAGAGGTTTTTCGCAACCAAATGTTTAATGTTTGTTATTTTAAAACATTTGGAAAGAATAAACTAACAAATGTTGCTCATTTATTGTTGCATTACATGGTTTAATATGTTTATTAAATGGACATCCTATCAACACAATATTTCATTATTTTTGTATGACCTAGTGCTGTTTATAGACTGTAACAATCACACACTGTAACAAAGTGAAAACTTACTTGCAGCAGAATTATACTAACTAGAAAATTAAATGAAATCTTCCTTCAAGTTCATTACATTATATTATATTTTTATTTCTGAGTCTTCAGAATGTGTTTATTTCTTAGTAGTATAAAAGCTTTCTTTCCCCACTCTCAGGTGGTTTCATTAGTGCATATAAAAACAAGATCATTCAGAGCAGCATTTTGCAGCATGAATATTATAGTAATAATTTTAAACTTCTGTTAAAGACTAAAGGTAGGTATAAAACCCAACTTTAAATGTACATGAACTCTCAATCTCATTAGTTGAAAACTGTGCTTGATTCCCCCTTCTCAGCTTCAAGGGTGATTAGTCCCCTCACAAAATATTCTACTTATCAGTTACTCATTACCCATCAAAACGCATTACTGAAGTATCATTCTACATCTCTGAATACCAATATGTCATAAAAGTAATATGTTATCCACAATTTTGTTCTTTGAAAGGCTGCCAATAGGAAGGCTATCCAAATGACATGCACTTGTGTTTGATTATGTTAATTAAAGAAGGTTTCTGACAATATAAAAGAAGTGCAGAAGGATGCAGTATATTTTTTATCTCCTGTCCTTATAACTTTACATTAGGAATTATTTTTCCAAATAAAATACAATGCATTGCAAAATGCATCTGTTAAAAGTCTAGATTTTTTTCTAGATCTTGGACTCTCATTTCTTAATTAAAATATTCTCAAGATGCTTTTATTTGCTATTATTTCTGCTGCTACTACCACTATTCTTCATAATAATAATATAAAAAAATAAAACACTTTAAGCAAAACCTTAGTCTGTTTCAGACAATTAGATATTTAAAACTTCTTGAAGCAATGAGTAAGGGCATAAAAAAGGAAACCGAGACCAAACAATATCCATTCATGACCCAAGAACATTCAGACATTATCCAATCACATCTTCATCATGTGAAAATAAGATTCTTTTGTTTTTCTCAAAAGCATCTTTAATAATACATTGAGTCAACTGTATTTAACTGTTCTTGTTAACACCTTCACAAAAAAGTCAGACATGAATCCTGTAGGAGAAAAGCTGTTTTAATTTTTCATGCATTAACACTGTTTCATTTATCATGAGCCTAAAAACATTCTATTTCTGCCCACACATCACTCATGTCTGAAACCTTTGTAGTAGTAAAACTTATATAAGAAAATACAAATAAAAGGTCCAACTTTCTAATGTTATCACTAGTAACAATGAAAGTCATAACCAGTGACCTTATGTTTTTCCTACAAAAAAAACTCCTTTTGGGAGACATACATTCTAAAATAATATATTCGAGTGAACATTTCACTATTTAACTGTTTATTGCTTATTTTTTCCTCTTGATCGTCAAATACTGACAAATGCTTTTACTTCAATATGAGGTTTGCTACATATCTGCAAAATAAATGGAAACTGAAAGAAACTTGATAAAGAAGTAACAATACAGGAAAGTGTATGACATTATAGGTTACTTAAATTTATTTGAATAATATAAATGTTATTTTTTCCCCCAACAGCACAAAAAGAGTACTGGGACAAAAAGTTTTAAGAACAGTGAAGTATTGTGATATCTGATGTTCTATAGTTAGCAGAATTACAAATATCTTAATAATCTGACCTCAAAATAATGCTTTATATATAGATACATCATTTGCGCAGTTATTACATTTTAGGACTTTATCCGAAAGCCATCCATCTTCATGTATATTATTGCCTCAATTATTTCAATTAAAATACTTACATTATTTGTGATGTAAGTATTTTATCATAGGGCTAAGAAACAAGTAGTTGGCTTGTAAATCAATACAGCCAGATTAATGATTTTCTTTCATGTACATTATGATACTGTCAGAGTATTTAAAAAAATAAAAGCTTAAGATTTCTGAAGTAAGTTCTGGGTATTTCCCCTGAGTCTTACTTGAGACTTAGCCTAAGGCTCTACAAGACTGTATGAATGAAAGAATGAAGCAATGACACAAGAATAATGAAATCTATTTTTAAAAATCCCCTACATTTCCAACTCAGTACAGCCCCTGCCATGAACAACCTTTGTTTTATAAGTATGGAGTCCTGTTCCTGTCCCTATAATACTAGTTTTCAGGAGCCTGCTTGAGAAACTAAAAATCATAAATGGGTAAAATGGAGTCTTTTTAAAACCAAATGTAACCTTATCTAAATGTCAACTTAAACCTAGATTTTGAATTAAATGAAATACATGAAAATATTCTAGAAAATGTCTGCACCTGCCGTATATCAAGATACAGTATGAGTTATTAGGCAGAAACCCAGAACCTGAGCAAAGTGCAGACTTGTTGCTGTTCAACAAAAAAACTGTCTCAGTGTGCACAGAAAACAAATTTGCAGTAAGTACTGTAGTTGCTAGACAAACGATGATATCATATAGCATAAAGAAAACTAAGCAGAGATGTCATTGTCCATAGACGTGTCATTTTGTCATTTAATCTTCAGTCAGTGAAATCCCGAAGTCTTCAAATATTTGAGGCAAACAATCCATCATCTACAAAACAACATCATGCACTTTGTCCAAAACTTTGCAGATGATGTTTCACAACAGTTCCATACTTCTAATAGGATGATTTCCAGTAATGCAGGTATAAAAGGGTTAGTGTTTCAGTTTTAATTTTGAGAGCAAGTCATCAAGTTCACTGTAATCGTATTGATGAAAGATTGCATTTACCCAGGTTCTGTACCTTCTGTACCTTTTCGGTCTTGTAATTTTATGCAAATCCAATCATGAGTGTGCATGGTCTAGAAGAAATAAAAATAAAATAAAATTAGGCATTCATGACAGTTTACTTTAAGCAAATAAGCTGAATAGGTCTAAACCATAAAACAGACATGATATCTAAAGGTCTTTCTTTAAAATTGATGTTTTTTCTCAAATCAATGTCATCTGTTTCTCTTTATAAGCTGACAGTAAATATGTAAAGTGAAAATGTGGATATTGATAGTACATTTCAAACGCACAAATCTGTACTTTATCGATCCTTCATTGATCCTTATTGTACTTTATTGGTCCTTCCGTGTAGTAAAAGCTAATAAGTTATCTGAAGACACAAAGTCAAACATCCTTAATCTTTTGTGAAAACATCCTTCCATAAACAAGCTTATTGTTTACCATTTCTCTGTGCCAAAAATACACTGAGCTGAAGTAATATTTTCTGACTTTAAAGACCATGACACCTCATCCTTTGAGTCCTAATTCCCCAAAATTACAAATCTGATTGGAAACCAAGAAAGTACAGATATAAACTTAATGAAATCCTCAGGCAATAAAGTAGTATCCTCTATGTCACTAAAACAGGAACAATTTCTTTCCAAGAGCTTCAGAATACCGCAGCATAATAAGATTTAATGATCTGACTCAGTTCAATCTGAAAACTGTTCTTTTCTCAATTCAACCTGAATTAAGAAATGATGCAACACAAAATGCAATATTTTTAATATAAGATATAATGCATAACTAATTTTTATCTCTGAAAATACTTTTTATACTGTGACACTATGCTAATTGTATTAAAAAAAACATTTACAGGTACTAACATTTTTTTCTCTTGGCAACTGAAAGACTTCTAGCCTATGAATGGCTACACAGCCGGAGTGACTTTGACCATGAGCAAAAGTGAAAAGCCAATGCCTTTGTTGCAAATGACAAGACTTTTCTTTCACTGTCTTCCTGAACTTCCTGCAGCTCTGCTTGTTGTGTGCAACTCTATAACATGGACTGCTTAAGGTTCTTAGTCTCCATTAACATGAGCTAGACATTCATTCCACAAGTGTGAAGGCTATTTGTGTCTCGTAACATCACCGGAAGCAAAGTAATGAACATGGAGATCACTGACTGACTACATGTCCACATTTAAGTGCAAGTTATCTATAGCATATATATCTAAATACATATATAGCATATATATCTATGTTACTTAAGCACATTAATTTCAGTGCCTTACATCTACCACAAATAAACTGTAAAGCTGTCACCTGTAAAACGGGACTGGATTCTCCTAGTACATATTAGAATGTTTTGCCAGAATATCCCAGTTAATGACCTGGGATTGGTATACTGAAGCAGTAGCAGAGTGGGGGTTATTAAAAGTTTTTTTTTAAATCCCTCCAAGTTTCCACCACTATATGACTCATTAAAAACTGGGCTAAACATCCAAGATTTTGAAGCCTGAGGTCACAGACTCCAAAAAGAACCTATAAAATATTAAATGGAAATGTAATTCAAATAAGAAAGCTTGCTTTTTGTAGCCTAAATAGATATTTTTAGGGAGGATTCTGTATAACTTCAGCACTTTCCAAGAGAAAGTAACAGTCTGATATGTTTAATTTCTCTATGGCACAGTGGTCTCTGGCATGCATGTCTTGTAAACCTAAAACTGACAAAGCAGTAAATATAAATGACCTGGTACTGCATTTCTTGTATCATATATCTTACACCTTATAGGGATGACATCACAGTAAATTTTAGCCTCCTCGTCATAATACTGAACATATTAAACAGTGCAGTGTCTACTTCTTACCTTTCAAGGACATCTGTTAAATAGCCATAATCTCCGAGTATCATAATGAAACTATAATATTATTTGCATTTTTCAGAATGCTGTTGCCTTGAACGCCTAGCTGCATATGAAAGTAATTCCATAAAGGGGCCAATATTGGTAAAACCGGGCATCCTGACAGAAAGAAATCTGCCTGAAAGCGTTGCCAACCTCACGACTGTAAAACAGATGTTATGTTGGAAGGTTAGGCACAATTAACTCCACAGGGAGTGTGAGCCGTTCTTGGTAAAATATTGTGTAATAGGAATAAATTACAACGGGTAGCTTTATCTTTACTTTATCCTTTACGCTATTTCTCCTTCAAAAGACTTCCAGAATGACCCCCCCGCAAACAAAGTAAAAAATGTGCTTTCAAACTTGAGGGCAATCTAAATCCTAGAATGCTGGTAACCATAGTTAATACAACGCTAAACATCACCAGCACTAGGTGCTACTGTACAATTCTGAAAACCAACCTCTTCTTGTCACGATTCTGGTGCTTCATCATCCCCGGTGCTGCCTAGGTGAGACAGATGTCTGGTTCTTCCAGTCTGCACGGCAAGAAGGTTTTTAAAGCGAACCAAGGCAAGTGCTATCTCAGCGTTCCAGGCGGTCCCATCTTGCTGGCATCTGAAGTCAATTTCCTTGCCCCCTGCCATGACGATGGTAAAGTACACCAGTCCCCGCTTATATTCGACACAGTCCACCGTGGCCATCCGCTCAAATCGTAGCTCTTTAGCTTTAGATTGAGGCCCGGAGCCGGAACCGAGTCCAGTGGCTCCGCTACCACCGCCGCTCCGTTTCCATTCAAAAAGACGCAGTCCATCCTCTGTCAACACGCAGCGTTTCTTCTTCCACAGCTGCAAAAGACCGTTGCTCCTTTTTTCCAAAAATCCTTCTTTCAGCTCTTTCTGTGGATTCATCATCACTCCAAAGAGCTGGTCTCACCGTGGCACTAAATATGTTTCAGAGACTTGTTTCGCAGCGCCCCTGGGTTAGTTTTTAATTCTATGCATTGTTCTTAAACATCTGGATACTCCGGACAGTGTGTTCGCCAGTAAAAGAGAAAGAAACGCACGATCTTTTCCAGGACCGCTTTCCGAAGCCTATTATTATTAGTAGTATTAGTATTAGTATTATTCACCCAAAAGGCAGCTGTTTATGATGCGTACATGAAGACGTTTCTTACATATTGTGTTTCTGTCGTTTTGTATTCGAGTAATAATTTACATGTGCGTTTTTGAGTACCTTGCATTTAAGGCGCTGTGTCCAGCTGAAGTACGACCCGATGCTACTGCTTGTTGTCCCGATTTCAAGGATATGTTTGTACTTGCCTAAAGCTGCGGTTTGCCTGCCTTTCAGCGAGTAATTCAGTCAGCCCAGCCCCGGCCTGTGATGTCATGTGCGCTAGCATCGTGTTAAACATTACACTTTTTCCTCGCCTCGGTTACTGCTGACTGTCAGTCTTAACAGCTGTTACTCATTCACAAGTCGGCCGGCTGATATTGCGTATTATTATTTAAAGTATAACAGGAAGCAAATGGATACGTCACACGTTTTTTTAATGCTAGCACTTAGGTCCTCGTTTTTATGGCTCAAAGGTTTCGAAACTGATGACGCTACTTTCTTTTAAAGTTAGTACCTGACAGTACTCTAAGTCGCTAGAAGCATTCTGATGGTATGGTAAGTTTCTTTTTGCAACCCTAGACACACTTACCAGTTGCATAATCAGTACAATGCACATTTTATATAATTGTTAATATTATCCTGTTCAAGTTCTGCGTTAGTCAACAAGAAGATATGATGATGGCATCTCTCTGTTCTGAAAATATTAATGTTCTTTTTTCATATGTGAAGTATTTGGCTTAATGCAACTGTTTCCAAAGACCAAAAATACTGTCTTCTTTTTCATCTGAGTTCTGAAACACATTGTACTTTTACTAACAAAGTTAGTAAAATCCATTTTTAATTAAATTACTGGAATAGGAGACTTACAAAGTAGGTTATTGCAAGCAAGCCCTTCTTGTACTAGTATAATGTTATTTCTTGTATTGAATACCTGTTTATGCTAATTTTTAAGGTTTAGCCAGTGTAATATTGTTCATTCTTCAAAAACAGTTAAGGCTATGGTAAAGGAAAGTTCCATACCCTTGATAAAAAGTTTTCTGGAAATTCTTTCTCATTCACTAGCACTTTTTAAAAATGTGTTTACTGTATTCCTCACACAATGATACTGTATCTCAACAACAGCTTTACATAGCCATTATCATTTGCTTTACACTCTGTTGCTTTAGGTCAAGATAAGGTTTGTTGATTCAGATTTTTTTTAGCATCAATCAATAAGCCAGGTGCACCAGTTCTGGATCCCTTCCTAGTTACTAGCATTAGTAAGATTGTTGTCCTAGATGGCACATATAGAATACTGATTCGAGTCATATTTGTCTTTAATGTGATATACCGTAGCTAAGAATTAACTAGATCCTGCTTTGCCAGTGGAATGGTTCACAGCCACTGCTGTTTCACAGATTATTTTTTCCTAGACCTTACAAACCTGATGAGACGTATCAGTAAACTACTGATACCCAGTCCTGGTGTTGGAGGGCCAGTATATCTACAGGTCTTTCAAGTTGTTTTTACAACTTCAGCACCTCAACAACTAGAATAAGTTGGTAAATTGGTCTAATTAAGACAATAATGAACAAATTTAAACTGTTAATAACTTAGCTGCACTGAAAGTCCTTGTGGACTTTAAGCTGTTCATAACTTAGCTGCACTGAAAGTCCCTATGGACTTTCTCATGTTAATAACTTAGCTGCACTGAAAGTCCCTATGGACTTTAAGCTGTTTTGTAACACTGGAACACTTCAGAGTAAGCACCAGGTGAAGGGGAGGGTTATTATAAAGTCCTAAATGTTTTACGGTCTATGCATTAATAATATCTATGAAGCAACCCAAAGATCTACCAGAACATGAGGAAAAAATGTTCTTTGTGAATATGTCTCCAAATTGCATTCTTCCTCTCTAAATATAATTGTTTTTGCATCCATCCATTTTCTAACTGCTTTATCCAATAAGGTGTATAGCCACAGCCACAGCCTATCCCATGAAGTAATAAGTAGAAAGGCCGGATACACCCTGGACGGGACACTTTTTTTGTTTTCCTTTGAACAAAAAGAAATACATTGACAAGACAGAAACAGCAGCCACACGAGGTCTACAAATAAATCTAATCTAGATCTAGATAGAACACATTGATATTACTCTATATCACAGCTCAGTTTCTGAGGATGCAAAAAGTCAGAAAGAAAAGCCAAAATTGCTGTTTGCTATTAGGTATCTGATGACAAAGACAGAAATCCTGAAACAATACTACCACAGTTCTATATTCACAGTCAGATTTTTAAAAACATGCTTCTTATTGAGGCGGTTGTACAGTATGTTCCATAACAGACCCATTACTTTCAGGATCCCAACCATCCTGACCATAAACTGTTCTTTCCCCTGCGCTTTGGCAAGCGGTATCGCATTATTAAACTACGGACCTCTAGACTTAAGAACAGCTTCTATCCCACTGCAATACGCATCCTCAACAGCTAACTGCAATGCCTCAGACTCAATACACATCTGCACTTTTTGCTTTGTCTACTATGTTTTATTTCTCACTACTACATATGTATTGTCCCACAACATATTTATTCTTCCTATTGTTATTACTTAATATGTTTATAAATGTACCATCTACATTGTATGGTGTTGTTGTCTGTTGTATTGTGTATATCCCAAGAGATCAGTGCTAATTAGAATTACAATATACATGTATATAATGGCAACTCCTCTATTTTTTTAAAGATACTCTACTTTTTGAGATAACCATATTCAGTACAACATCGTGTCAATGTCACCTCAATGACACTCTCAATGATAAGACAATGACCTCCCAATTGCCCAGAGCAACACATGTAATTTTTCAAATTTAACCGTGTAGGTAAACCCTGGCTGTGTACTGGTGTGATAACTCAATCAGATCCTGTGGAAAATACAGTACAAAACATGTGTCGTAATCAGAAAACAACAGCCTTCTCTTTAGCCCAGAGTCTGTAGAACATTACCAAATCTGCTCAAGAATTCTTTGTATAAATACAGCCTACAAAGAATCTCAACATTATAAAACCATTACAAAACATGAATTACTATTTAAAGACCATAAATAGTAGTCCATGTTGTGAATGATAAATAAAACAGTTTATATAATTCAAAATACCTTATTATTTTGTGTATGATAATTATAGAAGTATAATTAACAATTATTTATGTCTCATTCATAACTAATCACTAACTATAATTCATGGTTTTGCTTTTTCATTCAAGGTTTTAAATATATGATTATATTATGAGCTTTAAAAGAAAATTATCATACTATGTGTGTTTGTACTTATAAAAATAAATAGTATAGTAAATAAATTAAAAAATAAATAGGTTTGAATATAGGCAAATTGCTTTTGAAATCATTTTGATTAATTGATCATTCATGGCTGGCTGTGATATAAAGTAATTGTGTGACTGGTGCATAACCACTTAATCACCACATTACTGACAGAGTTGATCTGGTGATAATGTTGAATATCAAACATGATGAAAATTAAGAAAAGATAAACATATAAAGAAACCAAAATATTCCACTTATCAAAACAATAGTGCTTTCATATTATTGTTATGTTGGAGAACACCTAAGGGTGGACTCACCAGCATTTAAACCAAGTCCTTGGTTGGATGTGACACGGACATAGAGAACAATGTGATATTTTTTTCTTTACAGAGTAACAAATTGATGGAAAACTGTGTTGATCTGGCTAGGAGAATCTAGTGACTAGAGAATGGAACATTTGGTGATTAATGGCAACCTGATTGCACAATACCACATTGATAAGGCATTGATAAGGCATCCACATTGGATTAGCACAGTTTATGACAAATGTTAATCAGCATAATTCACCTTCACCTTTTGTCATTTCAGCAAAATCTCAGTTCCTACAAAAAAGATTTTGTGATTTTCTTTATAATTAATTCAATAATATTTTGCAATTATAAGTAATAGGTTTCTTTTCATGATCAGTATACATTATGCTATTTGTATGTTGGAATTTTACAATGTTTTCTTTTGGTTCAGTTTCTTTCAAGAAACAAAGGAACTTCCTTCAGCTTCAGTACATATATAATTTATTACTTTTTGCATACTGCATCATTAAACAATGAAATGCCGAAAAAGATGTCAAAAGTCACTTTTTTAGAAAATATAGTAAGGTAATGACTGAACCCTGCATTTGCAGTGTTCACAGTTACAGTATTAACTGCAGACCACAAGGGGGCAGATGGACATCACTTTTTCAGACTTTTTTACAATACAGGGCTATGCTGTTAGTAATGATCAGCAAGGCATACTTACCTTTGTGTAATTACCTCCACTAAAATTGACATTCTTCTTACCATGAAAAGTATTCATATTTGCATGGCCCAAGTATTTCAAATAAAAGTAGTTCAATACCAATAATATAAATATTAATATTTAAAAAGTGTCTAAAATTTCTGTGAGATCACTTTGCATCTTAGACATATTTATGATTATAATGTCTCTTCAGACCCCACAGAGAGTGAAGTTCAATGGAACAGAGAAGGTACAACAATACTTGATAGTTTTATAGCAATTGGCATAAGTGTTTTGTGTCAGACTGTACAGTATATCAGCATTGCAATAACACATAGGAAAAACTGATCAATGTCATCAACAGGAGATAGTAACTACCAGCCATCGTCTCCCAGCTAGAAACATTTTGGCTGATCAAATGTCACACAAAAATTTAAGGTTTCTTTGATCTATTTTGTTTGATATTTTTGTACAGATTTCTTGTGATATATTGTATATTATCTGTTTTCTTAGTGTATACCCTCATATAGGTTGACATCTATTGCTTAGATTTTTAAATTAAAAAAGGAAACTATAGATATAGTCACACGTTCCATAACTGTACTGTCACGATCCTCATTCCTCCTCTTAAGTGTGCCCCGACCCTTTCGTATTTTAGTTGCTCCTGTTTTGTCTGTCATTATTTAAGCCTGGCTCTCCCGCTATTCCTGGCTCAGCATTGGGAGAAGGACGCCCAGAACCCCGCCTACCAGCAGGTCCAGGAGAGACCCGACGGCATAGGCTTCATCACGGTGTCCTGACCATCTGAGTTTGGGGCTCAGAGTGCCTGGCTTCGTAAACCTGGTTTTTAATCCCTGTTCCTGTTCCAGATCTCGTTCCAGATTTTAACCTTATTTGTCTATGATGGATCTCCTGGTTTCTGGACCCTGGACTGCACCCTAGATTTCCCCCTTGGACTGTTTGGACTTGTTTGCCTGCACCACGCCCCTGAGCACCTGACCACTGTCATCACGATATGAGAGCTGTATTTCTTTAGTGCAACAGTATATGTCACATTGTCTTTCCAAGTAGCACAGTTGTTAGCATTGCTGATTCGCAGTGCTTGGTTCTGCATTTAGTTCCTGCATCGAGTTTTTATGTGCTTCCTCTTGTTCACCTGGGTTTTCTCCAGATACTCCAGGTTCTTCCCATACTCCTCCCACAGCCTACAGTCCAATTGCTGGTAGACTAATTGGGTTCAGTAAAATTAGGCCTGGTGTGAGTTTATTAATGTCTTTGTTTGTGTCTGCTCTTCAAAGGACTGGTGTGCTGTCTTGCATCTGTTGCTTAGGTTCTAGTTTCCCCCATGACCTTGTACTGGATAAAGCAGGTTTGATGGATGAATGAATGGATGGATGGATTTGAGACAGACAAGGCGAGGAAGAGACCCTGAGGTGTGGAACATGCTCTTAATGTTTTACCAACAACATAATGTAACTGGATTAGGTTTTTTTATATACTTTTGGACACAATTGTAAGTTTCTGTGACCAGAAAGCATTTGAATGTCTATTTGTGTTCACAGCTCTGTGTTTATGTTATTATATGTTCACCCACTTCTGAAAATACATTCTTAATGACATTAATTGTTTTATTATTACTTGCCTAGGTTAATCTACTAAGAACATTTCTGGGAGAAACTAAATATACAATTTTAAAAATAAATACATATAATTTAATATTAGATATGCCATTACATATTTATGCTCAGAACTTGTCTAAATAGTATCTTTATGGGTGAGTACAGCTTTAGGGCCTTTTTATTTGTAACCACTAGTGTTGTATTTTAGATGAAAAAACACAACCTTTAATTTATGCTTCCTCATGACAGAGTGAGATAATGGGTTTCTGCCAAGGATTGTTTTCTGTAGTACATTGAATCTTAGCATCTGTCGGGACTTTCCTTTTAGGGAAAGACCTGTCCGCTGTTTATTACTGACAATGTTTAGCAGCAAACCTAGGAAACTATGCTTGCTAAGAGCCAGTAAGCTAACACTATGCAGATGTCTCTTGATCCAGTCTTCCTCTTTCACCTTCAAAACAAGTTCCTTTTTTGTTACTGTATGTGCTTGTTTTAGGAGGCCTAGATTTGGTTATTCTATTACTTTAAACCACCAATTACATTACATAATTATGTAGACTGTTTGCTTATTAATGACAAATACTTCACATTCATTTTAAGAAGCAAACTGTCTTGTAAATAAAACTCTTACCATATGGAGGTTTGACAATTTAATGATTTAGCAACTGCTCTTTCTGAAATTTATTCCATGACCAGTTGCTGTATCTTACTATATGTTATTAAGATATTTTAGATTATTTGGATATTATAATACTATATAAATATATTGTAAAAATGATGTATATTTATAACTGTGTAAGTGAGTGAGTGGACAACAATTTAAATGTATTAAATCTAAAAATGTAATCTGCATAAGAGGCTGAAACTTGTTAAACCTGATATGGATCAAAACGTAAAACAATGCATAGTTATTTTCACGTTATGAATACATTGCAGTTTTAACTGTTTAAGAGGGACCACCATGAAAATTATTTACTGTATATAATGCAACTGCCAGTTTAATTACTGTGGCTAGACTGCTGACTTCCTTGAGTTATTGAGTTGTCTGACAGACTGCCATGATAATGTAGACAAAAGGGCAGTTTTTCCTCTATTCAAAAGACTGTCAGAAGATGGGACGGGATAGCTGTTGATGTGAGATGTGAAAAGTCCAAGTGGTGTATATTTTAGTTTGAGTTTTACTTCCAGTTTTACTCCTGCACTAATATATTTACAGTATATGTTAAAATCAGTGAACCTGTGAAGCAAACTGAATGCAGCAATATATTAAATGGAGGTGATCCCATGATGATGCAGTTACTCTTTAGTTTTTGAAATTTACTAATAGTATCCTGCATTCACTAATCACATTATATAAAGTGAATTAAAATCCACAGATTCCTAAGTTGATATTAGCTTCTGGCTATTTGAATATGTTTGTACGGTCAAAAGTGAATTAAAATGAAAATGTGTTAAAAGTGTTTTTTTGAAGGTAGAATCTGGTTCTAGTTTTCAACGCAGAAATTGATTAATACCTCCTTATTCTAGTTTCAATTTTGCAAAAACATTCAAAATAAGCCTGTGTAAACCACAGTAACTACTGATTTTGTGCAAACTACCTCTACAGCAATTGGATGACAAAACCAAGTGATCCTGATAAAAATGGATTTCTGAAACCAGATGTATAGAGCATTTGCTGCCAGTAACAATTGTTCTGTGTGCTGGAGAGAAGGATTTTGCTAGGTCTTGTCAGCCTTGCAGCTGTTTCCTGTTGTTGCCAGTGTTATTGTACAAAATATCAGACACTGTGAGTGAAGTTGGAAGATAATTCGCTATTGAGTGGCAATTGTTTTGCATTTAACACTACCAACACTAAAATACCCAACCAAAACTTTCAAGAACTCCACTAGACCTCAGACATTAGTATTGTATGTTATGTGTAAAAGGAATATTGAAAACAAATGTTTGGTGTGCAGTACATACTGTAGTACATGTGGAATTAATTAATTTTGCTTTTCATGGAGATTTTAAAGGAGGTTCAGGGGAGGGAGAACCCCAGCATTATACTCTCTTCCAGTCACGTAAACATGGGTATCAGGTATCTAACACACTTTCCCAGCATTCATTGTACCACATCCCTCCCCTGGGAAGGTGCAGCAGCACCTTTTCTGATTCATATGGGCAGGCCATCACTCCCTCAGCCAAACCAGTAAATTTCTATCTAAAAATCATTAAGGTAGCTTTTCATTTGTTAATTTGAAGATTTTGTTATTCTGTAGAACATTTAGATATCAACCTGTATACAGTATGGAATTGTTAGAATCTATCCATGCAATCTTTAACATAAACATACCTTTTTTTCTGTTAAACAATTCTCACTGATCAAAATTGCTGAATTAAAGATATAGAAATTATAAAAGTAAATGAAAAGAGAAGTCCTTTGCCAGACTTAGCATTTTTTGTATTTCTTATTAGAATATGAATAACATTTTCAATTCTATTGAACAAATCTGCTATATCATATTGCAACCCAAATTATAATATTTAATATTACAACCCAACTTCTTTCTTACAAGCTTGAACAATTAGTTCGGTTACAGATTAAGAATGTTATTCCTGAGAACAGACATCTGATCCTAATATAATCTTGTTCAGACCCATGTTTAGCATAATTACAGACAATAATGTGTTAAAAGACAAATTATAGTTCACTTCAGTGAATATTTTAAATGATTTGATCTACAGTTTCATTCTACAATATTCCCCTTTTGTATCTTACACCAGTGATGTTTAATCTTAAATATTCAACACATTCTTCACATAAAATACTACTCTTAGTCTTTGAGTAAATAGATTATGTATTGGTTTTAAATACTGCAAAAACAAAAACATGAGGTCCTTCTTTAAAAGCTCCTTTTAATATAAATGTAGAGTTAAACTATTATTATTTATGCAGACAAATATTTTGGTGGCAGAGTGTAATAGGCAGTTAAATTCAGCTCCTAATGTTCCTGCTGATACTAACCCATCTGTTGAGTTTTGATATCTGTCCTCCAGCCAGCAGCACCGAAATTAACACAATCCCTTGATATTTTAAAGGATGGACATCCCTGTGTTTTGTGCGCAGTGTGTCTGTCAGTCTCTGTTATGATATTTGCATGGTTTTATTACAGTTTGTTGTGAACACTTCAGGTATTGAAAGCTTATATAGTGATACCTCACTGGAATGCACTTTGTGATTCGTTCCTCTTGTGACTTTTAAGACAAACTTGTTTACAAATGATACAGTGGTAAAGTGTGTAATTTTCATGTTCTCACATGATGAAAAGCCATATTTCTACACACGCCTACAGAATTCTTTTACACATTCCTTTAGTTTATTCCACCATATATATGTATAGCATGCAACAGTCTTGATTATGGATATCTGCAAAATATTTTAATCCTTTCCAAAGGAAAAAACAATACAAACACAAATTATAAGTGTCCAAACACCATTTTGAGCTACTCTTCCTTGGCATATCTGTGAATCCTGGAGGTACATGTCAATTAGCAAGCTATCAAGCAAGCAGTATAGATAGAAGCTCTGACTCACTCAGTCAGACAACACTAAGAGCATAATGTACTGTATGGTGTTTTGTTCTCTGTAATGGTATCTTTGCATAACCGTAGTGTGAACATTCTAATGTAATTTCTTGTCTCACAGATATTTCTAGTTAATGGTACAATTGTGATATGGCAAGTTTCGGTTTTGCATTCATATGCATCTGAAATGCAAAGGCTTTGTTGGTTGATAAAAATATTTTACGTAAGCACTTTTATCTAAAAGGATTAATACTGTAAATTCTTTCAAATAGGAGAGTATACAAGCACTTGTAGCCTTTTACTGTAGTAAAGCTCCATCTCAATACCCATACAGCATATCCTCTGCTGAAATACCTTGTGGGATGTACTGTATGTCTTTCACAGGGGAGGTGCCAATCTGGTCTAGTGAGTCAGAGCTCATGTGGAATTTTGCTAGTTTAATATCATGTAATAAACATGGGGGCAGGAATGCAGATGTGACAGGATTCGGAGAGACCCAGGTGTCCTTGGTATTCTGTAGACCTGGGCAGTTCTCTACTGGGCATGAGCCAATGCCCCTGCTCCCTGCCCAAATCCAAAGCCTTTGGGACCAAAGTTTTTAGCATAACATCCTGTGGAGACAGAAAAATACATGTAAATATTATTATAATAAAATACAGTAGTACAACATACATGCATAAATGTGCATTAGGGTATTACAAAAAGTATTTACTTTGTTACATTTTTAGAAACTTTACTTTATGGGAGACATTATTTGACATAAACCCTGTGACTTATTCTAAATTATTATTTTTATAACATAATGGCAATTATTTATCATTAGATTAAGTAATTATAATATAAATGTAAAATAATTGTGTGAAATAAGCTTTTTAAAAAGAAAATCTAAATCTCTGCTTTTGTAACACACACAATCCTGCACAGTGTCAGAATTCAATCCTTTGTATCTTGTAAATTAGCAGGAAGGACCCACACCTTTACAATAGATTTCTCCGTCCTTGTCTGCCAAGGTGGTGGACTCCAGACCCTTCCCACATTTAGCACAACGGAAGCAACTCTTGTGCCAAGACTGAACAGAGGAGAAAAGTAACATTGGCTCAGGTTATGCGTTCAGATATTGGTGGTCTTTATCAAGAACAATCAAGAATAATTTGTAGCATGTTAAAAAAAACATTAATATTATCTAATTCACACGATGTACTGTAAATACTCATTGTGGTGGTTGTGAACAATGTAATTTTATAACCTAGTTAATAACTTTTTCTTATTGCTTTTTTGATAACAAATTTACAGAAAATATGCACATGATAAATCATAAATGTATATGATTAAATGTTGCGCTGGAAAAAAATGAATTTGGTTGACAAGAAAAGCTCCAAATTTTCCATCTTCCAGCCAATAGAAGGCAAATGCAGTAAAACAGAAGCTCATTTATTGAAATAGTGAGGCATTGAAAAGTGATTGGTGATTTAAACAAAAACAGTGTATTTTAAATTTATGAACTGCAATTATTAGCACATTTGAATTAAATGAGGACTTGTTATGCATGTGTAATGCTGTAATGGTCCCTTTGCATAACTGCAGTATGAACTGTAGTGAGATATGATTTGTGTTCTTTTTTATTTCATTTATTTAAATTATTGTTTTAGGTTTTGAAATCAAATGTAATTAACAGTTCTGAGAGAAAATATATACATTCACATCTTCCTAAATATTCAGAGCTTTGATTAATGTATAACAGTTTATGTTTTGTTTTATGTATACAGTATAATCATCTCATAGAAATGGGTATATTGTATTAGGGTACAATTCCTACATAATACCTATTAACACTACCAACACTAAAATACTCAACCAAAACTTTCAAGAACTCCACTAGACCTCAGACATTAGTATTGTCTGGGTATCAGGTATCTAACACACTTTCCCAGCATTCATTGTACCTCCCCCAGGAGGGACCATGTGTTAACGGTGCAAATTTAAATATATTTTAAATATTATTATTATTCATATTATTCATTTCATTTCTATATCACTTTTCAACTTATGGGACCCAAAAGTGCTATACATATACTGTACATGGGGACCCATGGGGACCAACCACTAAAGTGTAGAGCCCACCTTGGGTGCACAGCAGCCCCCACAGGTATGTGCCAATTTTCTTCTACACAGCAGGATCACGTGGAGAAGTAATAAATTACTTAACAAATTGAATCAAGGGGAAACTTTAAGAATGCCAAATATGAAAACCCAGAGTAGAATGTAGCCAGAACTCTAGGGTTATCACCCCTACACTACCTCACTCAGGACCTGAGTTTAAGATCTTGTCTCCAGGACTCCGTCTCTTACAGTACCATGTGCCTGTCCACTATACTGTGACCGTGGTGTAAAAAATGTAGTCCAGATACAAGAGTTCACCAATACAATTGACAGAACAACCTGATTTTCCTTATACAGTATGTCTACCAGTACTTTACTTCCAGACTACCAGTACCAGTACTACCAGTACTTATTGCACAATAAGTACTGACCAGGCCCAGTCTTGCTTAACTTCTGGGATCTTACAAAATCAGATTAGAAGGTGGTAAACCTCTTTAACATTAGAGTATATCAGTTAGGTCTTTATTTTTTGTTTGGTCACTAAATTTTAAATTTATAATTAATAAAAATAAATAATAAATAATAATAAATTAAGTATGTGATATATCCCTGAGGAGTTTCCTATGTCATTGAAATCCCTGTATTCAAAATTGATTGTCTGTAAACAATTATTTACATACTTTATAACTGGTAATTGACTGGCCAATCATCTACCTGAGAAAAACTCTCTAAAATACAAAGTATAACATACCAACAGTTATAAAATTATGATCATTCAAATGCTTGAACATCAATTAATTTAAATATTATTAATGAGAAAACAACTGCATGTGTGTAGTTAAGCTCACAAAAACCGGCTTAACTACTGAACTGGCCCAACAAAAAAAAGAAAAAAACTAAAAAGAAGAAAGACTTTGACTACACATAATTGCCCATCTTCTATAAGAAATGAATAACTAATAATTTAGCAAGCAAATAAAAGTGCCAGTTTTGGAAGGCAGATCACAAATGACTTTAAAATCTTGAATTGTTTCCTGCATTCACACCCAGTTCCATTTTGATGGATAGTTTGAGCATTCAAGCTATTTGGAATATTGGCAATGAGAATACAGCTGTGAGCATCTTGGAGCCTTTTTCTCTGAGAAAATGGTACTTTTGTCAATCTCTCCCTCCAATATTATTTGTCCCCTCATGTTATCCACATATATACTTCAAAAGTCTGATTCTCAGCTGAGGAAATCAGTAAATTTACAGTGAGCAGCAGTTTCTCCTACTTACGTTGCCAGCTCCCACAACCTTCTCTGCAGCATAGACAGCCTTGCTGCAGCGTGGGCATACATCTGAGCCCCCAAACTTCTGAGCAAACTTTGATGGGTTGGGGTTGGTGGTGGGATGGTGAGGTGCAGCCCTATTTGGTAAAAATGAATAAAGAGATTTTATTATCCATATCAAATGTTTTAATTCTGTAATATTTTGTCAGTTACAAAATGAAAAGGAATTTACAGTTATAAAATGATTCATTTTATATTCCTTACTTTTCCCTTAAACATCTGCATTACATACATCCCTCCAACTATCACATGTAAACTTTGCGAGATGGTACATTCCTCATGCTTTTAGCTGTCAGGTTAAATCCACAGCACTAAAACAGCATTTAGTGCTGTAGATTTAACCCGACAGCTAAAATCATCAGGAATGTACCATCTCTAGCAAACTTTACAATTTACAATTTACATCCATCCCAACTCTGCTGTTATACTATATCATACTGTATGATTACCAATATTTATATGCCTTGCATTCAGTGGATAATGAGTAAATCACTGCGTGCCAGAGGTAAGTGTGAACAGCATAAATGGATGTACTGTACAAGTGGTAATGGAATAATAGATTAATTTATCAAAACATGCATACCGTCAATGATATGCACTTTTAATGTGTTTTCAGCAGTCACTGTTAATAACATACTAACAGGGTAACTTAAAAAAAACATTTTTAATTAATAATTTTAAATACCATATTCGAATGGCATGGTGGCATGGTGGCATAATGGATAGCATTATTACCTCACAGTGCTAGGGCCCTGGATTCAATTCTGGACCTGGGGTACTATTTGCATGGAGATTGAATGTTGTCATTGTGTTCACTTGAGATTTCTCCCACGGTGCAAAGACATACTGGTAGGATAATTGGCTTCTGGCCCTGGTATAAGTGTATTAGTGTCTTTCTGTCCAGCGATGGACTGGCGTCCTGTCCAAGGTGTGCCCTGCCTTGCACCAATTGCTTGCTAGGATAGGCTCTGGCTCCCCCTTGACACTGAATTGGAAGAAGTGGTTAGAAAATGGACGGGTAGATGGAAATATCTTATTCAAATGCTGTTAGGTACATCAGAGTGGATTTTTTTTCTCAAAATAGAGTATGCCTGCTGTTGTGTCTATAGGGTTTCGGAATCTGACTGTGTGATCTTTCAATAGCCTAAATTGTATACAAAAGAGTTTACTGAACATGTTGTGGAAGCGATGCCACTCCTCCTACATCTATACGTAGACAGTATAGAATTCTGCCACAATAGAACACACAATCTTTTTGGCTATGGGGGGTTTGCCACTGTCTAGGGAACAGTGCTGTGTTTGCTCTCTGTCTAGGAGTAACCGTGACTGAATCCAAACAGAAGGAGAGCATGGCTACATGCATTATATACAGTATATAGCATATTTACACATATATTAATATGTATAAATATATTATTTTACACACAGGTGTGTAACATGATCAAGGTCCTGTTGTTGAGAGTTGCAGATACAAAAATTAAACATGTTTGTGTTTGTCTGTCTGTACAGAATATTTGCCACTGGCATCCCATTCTGGATGGGGTACTGTCTTGCTTATATGCTTCCAGGATAGAGTCTGGGTTTCCTCAGCAATGAAAATGGAATATTCTGATAACAAATGGATAATTAATCATTATAGAAAAAGTATTCATAATTCAGATTACAACCAATGGATTAATTCACTATGCAACAAGAAACAACAATGTTCTGAAACTAATGAATTCTTGACTTACTCTTCAGGTTTGATCCCAAGACTTTCACCCTTGTCCATGCTCAGTGTCCCTGCACCTTGTCCATATCCATAGCCTTTTGGTCCATACTTCTTGCCATAGCAGGCTTTGCAGAAAATCTCATCTGCATGGACTGCCACTGTTGTGCTGTCAAGATTCTTCTTACACACCACTTAACAAAAAAAGGCACAGTACTAAAAATTGAATATTGCAGGAAGTGGATAAGTGATTGCACAGTTCTACAGCATCACAGTGGTCTAGTGATTAGCATCTACTGTATCTCATAGCTCACTAGGTCCTCTGGTTGCTCTAGGTTCTTCTCGACTTCAAAAGTCATGCAGTTTAGGTTTGATTTGGAGTTTTCATTTTGTTAAGTTCTGCGGCTTGTACAGCAAGTACTTAATATTTCACTATAGGGAATCAGAACCAAATGGTCCAAATGGTCTCCCATTCATTTTTGCTCTTAAGGAGTCTACTTGTTTTCATTCTCTAACAGGTTCTCGTTTGAAACTGAACAGAAACAAGTAGTCTTCAAAATGACATTGGTGGCTGAGTAGGATCATTTTTAGGAGGCATGATATTTAACTCATCATTATTAGGCTTAGGCATTACTGATAGGCTTCTTGTTTGAAAGAGTTGCGGGAGTAGGGTACAAGCTACTGAGCCATGTTGTTGATGCTGATTTTCTGGTTTATTGTAATACAATTATGAATTAGATCTTTGAATCACTTACAGTAGCTACTAATGTGTTTGATGGCCTAAATGGCTTTGTCTTGTTTGTAATGATTCTTATTTGGTCTTTAGGATGAAGAAATATAGTGGTAAACAGCAATTCTAAGCACTTTAACTTTAAAGCACCTTTATACAGTATAGCATTAATAAAATGAAGTGTTTAAACCTACAATACGTGTTCCCGTTTCCAAAATGCAATTTTTAGTTCCAGTTTTATGTTCACTTTATATATTATAAATTCATATACACAAAATATGACAGCTAAAAAGTAAAAAAAATCATTTACAAATTAAAGATAAAGAAGAAGAAGCAATTATCCTTTTAATTACAAATTTTTGACTGGTTTGAAAAATTTAATTTAACATTCATCTTGGTATAGGGAAAATCAATTAATTAATCATTAAGGAAATAAAACCTATTCTACAGCAGATGTTGTCTGCAGATCACTACTGACTGTTAAATTATTAGGCAATAAGTTTGAATGACTCTTAATCTGTAGAGCATTCCAGTGTCCTGTTATGCCCCTACCTTTTCTTCCTTAAAAGGAAGATGGACTCAGCATCACTTGTTTATTACCAAACATGGCTACTTACATTTTAAACAGTAATGACAATCTTCTGAAGAGCTTTATGTGTTTTTTACTGCTAAATACTCCAAATTCCTTAACAGAAATACACGTCTATAGAGATTACTTAATTGTTTAAATCTCCACACGTGCTCCTTAAACAATTTAAGAAATTCTGCTAAATCGTCACCCAGTGTTGCTATCCAGTAAGGTGGGGTGGTGGTGGGGGGGGGATTATTCAGTTAAAAAAACCTCGGTCGAGGAGATGAGAAGTGATGGGGTTAGGTTTTAAAGTATTCAATCAAACTTAACATGCATGTTTTGGTGAGAGAGAATTAGTTATCTTTTGCTCTCCTTACCCACCCCTATTACTTTATCATCCTACACCCTCTCTCTCTGTCACATATGAAGAAGGCTAAACAGCCAAACCTTCTACTTATCAATGTGGAATTAACCTCTACTTTTTCTTTTTCAGCTCCCTTGCTTGATACAGCTCCCCACTCAGATATATAACCTCTGTGCCCATGTTTCCCTTATATACAGTAGTTAATAATAAAACTGTTAACAAGGTATAGTTAACTATATTATCCCAGATGCCATAAAAAAGAGCTGTGATTGTGGATGTGCAGTAGTCTCATGCTTTTATTTAAATATCTCTTGACATTTAGGGAAATGAGCAGACGTCTGACTCTATCATGAGATCACAATTTCAGAATAACAGCAGCTGAACTTACTGCAGAGAAAGCATGATTTGTGGAAACTCTTTCCATCACACTGCACTTCCTCTGCGAAGTACACAGCTTTCTGACATACTCCACATTTGTTTCCTCCACCAAAAGGCATCCTGTGAAGCAAAAGTACAGTCTTTATTTCTATTACTTAATCCTCAATAAAAAATGATAGGCTCATATACACAAATAAAACAATGCAGATTTTTATAAATATGTTTTTTGACAAAAAAGAGATGTACTTATGTTCTACCTTTGTATTTGGGATGGAAGAGCAAACCTATATCCAACATGTTTAAATCAGTATAGTGTCTCAATCTAAAACAGAAAAAGTACAGACCCCATTAGGCAGTTTCATTTACAACATATTGTATATACATAGGTATTGTTGTATTATTGTTTTTAGTAATAGTATATAGTTTTTTTTTCCATGTACATCATATGAATTTTGGTGAAGTAGAGGATATTGTTTCCCACCCAACAATGCTTTTAAGTTCAACTGTTTTGTTCATTTTCCATATGTGTTAATAGCTCTTTCCACTGCTGCATTTGTTAATGTCTGCTCCAGTCACTTCCAGCACATCCCTCCCATTCCTGCTGATTAGGATCAGACAGTCTGTTCCTGAGGAATGAGGTCATCTGTAGAATAGCTGTTGCCTTATAAGGAAGTGCTCTTATGAGGGTGATTTGTTCTGTTTACACTTGCAATAGAAATGTACAGTTTGAGGTGATCTATGCAAACAGGACCAGGCCTTTCATGAGATGCAAAATGATTATTGTAAAATGACTAAAATAACTTTATACTGTTTCAAGGATGTCTAAATATTAGAGAAAGACAGCTAAGAGTTACTGTAGAAACAATACAAAATAGTTAAGGTAACAGCAAATTATTTGCTAACCAATCAAAAAAGCAACAAAACAAATATTTGAAATTTAATCAATTTACAAAGACAGTGGTAGGTGTTTCTAACATCCAAATACATATTCTCACAAAGCTAAGTGCATTGTTTGAGGATATTGTCCAAACAGGAATATTTTTCTGATTCAATGTACTATTTTGCTAAAACTAAATCTGCCTTAATTTATGAGAAAAAAAGTGGACTCTGACTTTTTAAACTGAAGTTTAGCTTCACCACTGGCCTTCTAGTGACCTGGAGTGTTTTGTAATAATGTTCTGAGTTGTGGTTCAGATTCTCTTCAGGGGAAGCCAAGCTTTCAGCAAACAAAACTAAGACAGTCCAGAGCAAAAGATAATTAAAAGAAAGGATTAAGTGATGGACATAATATGTTTTCTGTTACCTCAGGTAAAGGCATTCATTAACATCAGAAAAATGTGGTTATAATTTCACGTTATTTGAGGTGGCAAAGAGAGGAAGTCCAGAATACTGATCAAAGCGATCCTCCAGCTAGGCCTGGAAATGTGTGAGAGAATGATTAGTTAAATTTCTACATTAGGAGTGCATCTATGCCTTGCACACTATGGTTTTGGGGTGAAAAAAGTGAAAATGGATGGATGAAACTGCAACCACCTTTTATTTGTTGTGTTGGTACATACCTAAAAATAATATCTGTATTCAACTCTATACAATATAACAATTATATTAAATATTAATTACTGGCTTTTCAGAAGTTCGAATGAGGATTTATTAAGCTTAACACAAAATCCTCATATAAGTTCTTCAGAAAATGCCTTATTGTATAAATTATCTGTAGTTTTCCATATAAATGTTGTAATTCTTTATAAAAACCTAGAGAATTATTTCTTTAAAATTTATTTTCATAAGGGGAGTCAGGAGTTACAGTATATTAAAATTCCTGGCCACTAAAACAATCAAACAGTCTGTATAATATTTCAGTGCTATAGAGTTGACGGTAGAGACTGTTAATTCTGCTACCAAAAAGATCCAAAGGAAAATATCTTCAGACCCCCTCTTTCAGAATCAGAATTGTGGCCTTCAAACGTAAACACTTGCACTTTTTTTCTTCAGGAAGTACATAATGCATTCTTTTATGATGATGCCAGCTATACATTTATACAGCCCAAAAATAAGAAGAAATAATTATCTGTTCTTGAGATTTGAAGCCGTATGCATGCTGTCATCAACCACATCAGAGCAAAGAAATCTAAGACTGCCTTAACTGGGTATCAAAAACTTTACATAGTGTCTTGAATCCAAAGTTTGTATTGCTATCTGTAAGATTAATGGTGTTTCTTGCACATTTCCCTTCTTTGGCTTTGGCAAAAAGTTTGTAGCTCTGTGAGATGAGAACTGTTTTATATAATATACAAGAAAAATGATGCAGTTACTGCTCAAGGAATAAACTAGTGTTTGAGAATTCAAGCTCTGGAATGAGCCAACATAAACATTTTTTTTAGTTATCATAACAAAATATAACTTATTGTGACTGAGTGAAGTTTGAAAAAAAAAAAGACCTAAGCCTCAATATGCATCATTTTACACAACTTGGTAAAAAACACTTTGGATTTTAAGAGGAAATTGTCAAAGCAGTTTAATCTCTTAATTAAATAGCTGTGTTTCAAAAGATTTCAATAGAGAAATCTATAGTTTAGCTCCAGTTTTAAACTAATTAACAGTCTTGGTTTGGCCTGCAAATGAGAACAGACCTGGTAGTTAAGGGTTAAAACTTATTGGTATTAGACTTTCATCAGTTCCCTAAATCCATCACAGTGTTCGTATTGAGCATGTGTTAATAATATTGTATCATTGTATTATCTTATTTATCATTGTGTCCTTATTCTCAATCCAGGACAGCTTTCAGGTTTAAAGAACTTCTGTGCGCTATATCATCAAATTGAAAAGATATTTATTCGTAACTATTCTATATTAGTATTCATGTTTTGTAACATTTGTTTCCTTTATTTCAGTCTGCAGAATGGCACTGCAGTCTACTCAACCAACATTGCACCAGTGGCTGGAAGGTTGCTTGTTCAAATCCTGTGGCTGCCAGAGGAATCCTACTCTGTTGGGCTCCTGAGCAAGGCCCTTAACCCCAACTGCTCCAGGGGCACTGTACAATGGCTGACTGGGTGCTCTGACCCCAAGCTTCTCTCTCCCTGTTTTGTGTCTGTGTGTCTCATGGAGAGGCAGCTGGGGTATGCGAAAAGATGAATTCCTAATGCACGAAATTGTATATGGCCAATAAAGTGATCTTATCTATTATTCTAAGAACAATGGACACAGTTATACGTGAAACACTCTTGTGATTCTATACACAAGTTAAATCGACTGTATTTCTTGGACTTTTTTTTGTTTTCTGTTATAGTATTTTTTAAAATAAAGTATCATTTTATTTTTTATAAAAGCAGCATTTCCACTTATTTAACCTTCTCTGAATGGGTAAAGACCAGTTCTGAGTATAGTTATTTTAAAAAACTAATTTACAGTTCCCTGTGACCTGCATGAGGTATTCGTTTTTGAATTCACAACAAATTGTAGGAAATTGCTTTTAAGTGATATTGAGCTTTTATAGTATACATACACCTTATATAGATTGCTATATCAGGGTTGCGGGGGAGCCAGAGCCTATCTTGGAAACGGGCACAAGACAGGGTACATCCTGAACTAGACACCAATCCATTGCAGGGCACTCACAGACATAAACGCAGACACACTCACACCAGGGTCAGTTTTCCAAGAAGCCTTACCCTGCCAGTATGTCTTTGTACTGTAGAGGAAACAGGAGCATCCAGAGGAAACCCATGCAAATACAAGGCGAACATACAAACTCCACAAAGATAGCAGGTCTGGCATTGAACCCAGGGCCCAAGCACAGGCAGACAGCAATGCTAACCACTGTGCCACCATACCTCCTCCATTTGTTGTAATCAATACCTTTAAAATATTCCACACAAATTGGTAATTTTTCAAAGCAAAAAAAAAAACCTTTTTTAAAACCAATATATGTTTTTATAAAATGTGACAGATAATTTCCCTGGGTTGGTTGGGTTGCTAGACAATGAAATTAAAATGATATAAACATTCTATACACCTCTCCTTAAAGAGGTGACCATAAAGATTTTATTAATAGAAATGTTGGTGGATTTTTAATCAAAACACCCATTTAATGACAATATTGATCACAAATACTATTGCTATGAGCTCCAAATTCTTTACATAAGGAATTAATGACTTGTATACATCTTAAAAAACACTAGATATTGAGGTTTTTGTTTGCATTTACAAAACACAGAGAATTAAGCCATCGTTATACAAATAGGACAGATTTACAGTAAAAAGACAAGTGTTATGATAACACATTGAGTTTAAACATAGTTCTTGAAATAGAGCCCTTGTTTTAAATGCGTAAAAAACATTACAATATAATAAACTGCTTTTGCATCCAAAGCTTATATGCACTGTGATAACAGCAGCTAAATAACAAGCTATGCCTTTTTAATTCATGTATTTCATTATTTAAGTGGACTATAAACAAGATCTGTTTTTTTTACTCTTTCAAAAGTTCACACCTAAAGCCCCAAACTTAAAATTAAACACTAGAGTGAAACATTACAAGGTTTATTCTTACAAAACCTACAGTATATGTTCTACATGTAAGCCAGAGCCTTTAGCACAAATCACACTTGTGTTTAAAGCAAAATCCCATTTTTCTCCTATTCTTCAGTGTTAACCTATGTCTGCAAATACTGTATATATCTGGATTGTGAAATTATGAAATTATGAAATACATGCCTTTTCTCTGTTTATTTTTTTTAATCTTTTAAAATAGAAGTAAAATCATACTTTTACAATGTACTGAGCCTTCTCTTGTTCATTAGATACTAAGTAATTCATCCTTACCTGTCGGCAGAAGTAAATTTGAAAGCGAAGCTTAGGCTAGAGCCCCTGGGTAATTTCTCCAGCTGCTGTAAGGAGTGGCACCTCTGGGCTACCGAACTTCCCAATTTAATAGAGCCAGTGGAGACGGGGTTTGCACACCACACCAGGGTAGAGGGCGTGACTATGACAGAGAGAGGCAATGAAACAGAAGGACACTGAGCGAGAGAGAGAGGCAGGTTTGAATCTCAGCCAATCCTCCACACCCTTCTAACCAAAACACAGTTCAAGAACAGACTGTTATATGCTGATATGTTTACATCTTTTTCATTCTGTTCAACATCTGATATGTTTAAGAATGTATGCCCAAATCCAAAGCTTTATCTTAATTTTAATTTAAATCAATATTTTCTGATGTTCAGAAAAACACAAAATACTGAAACAAACTAAAATCAATCTAAAACAAATAATTTAAATATGACTTTAAAAAGAGATAGCAATGCTTTCTTCAAATATACTGGAGAGGAAATAACTAAGGTACAAAAAACAATAACCTATAATGTGTAGACCAGGAGTGGGCAAACTTTCTTGGTCCAAGGGCCACATAAAATATTGAAACTGTATATCGGGCCACTTCAGGCTGCTGTTACGGATAGCCCATGCCCTGTATAAGTTTAAAACCCAATATAGGCTTATTAGTTCAAGGTTCATGATAACCTGAGAGAAAAAAAAATATACAAAAATAAAAATTGAAAAAAACTTGACGTTCAACTCACAAGCCAAGTCTTCACCGATTACCTTGATGGGTGACTGTTAACTGGTAACTGGTAACTGTTCTGCATGATAAACTTATTTTCTCAAATTTGTTCTTGCTCTCTGGACAAAGAATATCTGCGGTTTCTATTATACACTCCTTCAAAAGCTCCCCTTGAGAGAGCAGCTTGCTTTGTTTAGCGATTTTATATGCAGGCAGGTAGCTTGCCTTTGTGCTGGCCTCTTGGATAGTAGAAGGATGGAAAATTACATTTTGCTGAGCCATTAAAGTAGTGGCAGATTGCTAGCATAGTTAACATGTTTGGTAGAAAACTGATGCCAACTGAGATTGTATTCTTTGAACACTGCGACACTTTCCTTACAAATTAAACATATAGCCTTTGTTCCAACCTCTGTGAAAAAGTATTTTGCAAACCATTCTTTGCTGAACACTCTGCATTCACTGTCAACTTTCTTCTTCTTCAATCCACTCATTTTGGCGCAGGTTCCCTCACAGTACGATGGACCCACTCTAACTGGTGAATCAAATTGGTAAAGCAAATTGGTAAACTTTTTGAATCCATGCCTCCCTTGACCTGTCAAATTTTCCACATGTGTCCCCTGTGTCAAAAATAAGTTCTATGGCAGTGTGATATTTTACAGAAGATCATACATTTGAAAAAGGAAATGATGGATCAAAATAAAAACAAAGTTGATACACTTTTTATTGTTTTTAATCATTTTTAAAACCAAAAAGCTTGATCAAAATAGTAAAAATACTTGACAACACATTTTATTAAAATGATTTCAATATAAAATAATTGAAAACTTTTAAAAAATAATCAACATCTTTGTAAAATGCAATATAAAATGACTTGGAAAAAGTAAAAAAGTTAACATCAATGTTTTTTTAAAAAGGGAGAGAAATACAATGTATTTTTGTTTGGCCTCTTAATAGGTAGGTGGGCTTGTTTAATAAATTATGTTAACGTGCAACGTGCATCTCCTTCTCAACATTGTCTCTTGATGTGAATTTGGATTTGATAGCAAGTGCTGAATACCCTAGCCTCACCAAGGCAGGAAATTGCAAAAGGAAGCAGAATTCACAGAGCTCTGTTGCTTATTCCTTGGTATGAGTTTTTTTGCATTGTGCTAATCGGTATGCAACTTTGTATGATGAAAGATGAACTTTGCTGGGGACTGTAGTTTGGTTAGAAAAAACAGCTTTCTGTAAATTGATTTAACTTTTTCATTTAAATTGGTGTTTCAATTTATTGGGGAGCATGCTTTCAGCAGCCAACACTTTAAGGCAGACAACACACTGAGGACATTCTTCAGTGTCCAGAATTGTGCACATGAAACCGAAATTCAAGAAACTCTCATCATACTTTCTGTATTTGTGTTTCCGTTTCTCTTTAGAACTGGACCTCTTGTCCTTCACGTTTTTTACTCATATTTAAAACCTCTCAATTGCAATCGTGTAAGAAAAAACTCACAAAATGACCACTCACAGAAACACCGAAGCCACTGTCAGCTGGTATGCTGCTTACAGACTGTCAAGTCTTGTGGCCAGTGTCATGTGACACAATCTAGTACCTTCAAATCCGCTAGGTAGAGCGCAACTCATACATTCTGTGTGCACGAACAGCGGGTTTTGCTCATAATAAAATTTTTCTTAGACTGGCGATACCTGAGCGACCACAATGGAGCCTCCCCAAGGTGGGATGATGTACAGTTTGGAATCACTGTGGTAAAGTGTTCGTGCACCATCTAATGGCACAAATAATTAAATGTAAGAAAAAACATCACCAAACAAAGTGGAATATGGGGAATATTGACTAATTTATTTTTTACCTCAAGGGCTGGTTAAAACTGGCTGGCGGGCCGGATCCAGCTCGCGGGCCGCAGTTTACCCACAGGTGAACGTCGCTTAAATCTCCCGCTGAAGTTTTTCTACCCGCTACATTATGTTGGAGGAAATTCCCAATTGTCTCTCTCTGCTTTCATTGATTCAGGGGTAGCAGGGAACTTTATAGACTCGTCACTCGCCCGGACCTGGGACATCTCTTTATTACCGGTAAAACCCCCACTTCTGGTCCAATCCTTATATGGCTCACCTGTATCCTCTGGTCAAATTCACTGGCAGATTGTGGTTCTTTCTCTCCGCATTGGAGCAATTCCTACGGAGGAGATCCATTTATTTTTATTAGATACCCCATCACACCCTCTGTTACTTGGACACCCTTGGCTATAAAAACATGATTCTCATTTCTCCTGGTCTCAAAACAACCTATTGGCTTAGGGACCTCAATGCATCTCCAAATGTTGTCATTTACCCATGAAGGCAGCTTGCACCAATCTACCCCAGCAAGAAACTCCTAAAATCCCACCTTAGTATTCAGACCTGGAGCAAGCTTCTAGTAAGCAAAATACATTGTTTTCACTCCCTCATCGTCATATGACTGTGCGATAGATCTCCTTCCAGGCACATCTCTCCCCTCTCCCCCGTTTTAGTTCATTTAGATGACATTTTAATTTTCTCCAATAATTTCCATGTTAATCACTTTAGGTAGGTACTCTCCAATATCATAAAGAACAATCTTTATGTCAAATGAGAAAAGTGCATCTTTCATGTCACCGAGACACAATTTCGGGGACATAATCTTTCCCCATTGGGAGTCGAAATGGATTATAGTAAGATCTCAGCCATCAAGGATTGGCCGTCACCTAAGAATTTAAAACAGATTCAACGTTTTCTTGGATTTGCTCATTTCTATCAACGTTTTATACAAAATTTCAATACAGTGGTGGCACCAATCATGTCTCTCACCCGTAAAAGTCCCAACCAGGGCAAGTGGAATCCCCAGGCAGAAGAGGCCTTTCAGAGATTAAATAATTTTTTACCACAGATCCATTCCTGCTTCACCCGGACCCATCATTACCTTTTTTGGTTGAGGTAGATTCATCAGCGCATGGGGTATGGGCAGTTTCTCAATCCTGGGGAGACAAGGGAATACTTCATACCTCTGTCTTTTTCTTGAAAAGGCTAACTTCTGCAGAGATGAACTACGATGTGGAAAATTGTAAGCTTTTCGTCATAAAACTAGCTCTTGAAGAATGGAGACTGTCAACGAAATTCTGGACTCCTATTGTCACCGCAGTTCTCAATACCTCGTAGACTGGGAAGGCTATGGACCTGAAGAATACTCCTGGGTACCAGATAGGGAAATCTTGGATAAGACTCTCATTCGTGAAATTCTTCAGTTTCATTCCTCTAGGCTGTCAGGAGCCGCCCATGAGGGGGGCGGTAATGTCACGTCTTCAGCTCCCCACAACCACAGACCTCAGCATTGACAGGCCTCTACCTCCACCAATTTCCGTAGGCGGCGACCTCGGAAATTAATTAACCTATCATCTTGCCATTTCACTACCACACCCCACAGTACTATTATATTTAAGGATTTTTAGCAGTATCCTCTCTGCTCAGTACTGGGTTTACACCGCTAAGAGCCTTTCCTTTGCCTCTACAAAATCCTTTGAGTTTGTTCATCCCCGGTATCAAAACTAAAGCATTTTTTTTCTGACTACGTCCTAGGATTTACTTCTCAGATCAGTACTCTCGACCCTTTTACCCTTTAGACTCTGCACAGGGTCCTTACACCATCACGCAGAGAACTGACAACCCTAACAAGTATAGTGAGATTAGGCACTGCAAATGTTATTTAATATGTTATATGAATTTGGGTGGAAACATTTTTACGTCAAGAAAAAAACATTCTGGTTGTTTTAGCAGAGATTCTTGCATAGTTTATTAATCTATGCTTTAACTATTTGTAAGGCATCTTATTTAAATACATCCTTCACAAATCAAACTCTTGTACAATCAGAGCTCATGTTTCTGACTTGCATTGTTTTTTTAAGTGAACATGAATGTACTTAAAAAAAGTACTCTTACTCTTAAAAGTACTTTTAAGAGTGAAAGTTAAATGTAATAAACAGCAGTAAACAAGATTTTTTTTGTATTCTTTCATCCATAAAAGTCTTCGGTTTGAACATTCAAGTTTTGATTGAGGTACTGTAATACATAATTTGGAATTCAATTGGACTATTGAATCCAATTACGATGACAGCCACTACTTTTACATCTCACTCACATCTAACTTTCTGCTGATCTGGTCATGGGAGTGAGCTTTCTGTAGACTAAAGTTTGTCTAATTATTTCACTATTTTAGGTACTGTTGCTAGTAGTTGAGAAGCCAGGCATTATATGGGCATGGAGAAAGGGTCTCAGGAGACCAGATTACACATCTGGCATATTTCACTTCTGTTAATAAACTGTTCACTGGTATGTAATAAGGATTCTCCTGCAACAGGACAAG